CAGCAAAGCCATAGTACTCTGCGAGGAGAGCTCTGCGCACAAAGCATTCTGGGACATGTTTGCCTCTTCTGAGGCCTTTCTTTTCTTCTCATACACTTCTCATACAGTTTTCCTCTTACGACCCTCAGCCATTTTCAAAGAACCTCAATGAGAAAGATTAGCTTCACTGACTGTCTGAAACTGTAGCTCACCACACATATGCGGCTAAAAGTGTGCATGCACAGAAAAAGATAGCTGACAGGGCCAGCATGTAGGACGGTCTTAAGTAAACATATCACCAGTATGATTGACAATTAAGAGGACCGCTTATTTAAATGATCCACTCGGAAATAAAAGATCATCCTCTATACCATTAAGTTACGTCAGACACTACACAAAAAGTAGATTCACAGATTCTCCCACTGATCCATACTTCGGACATCCCTCCTCTAAAGCATCTCCAGCTGTTTGAGGAAAACAAGATCAAGTGATATAATGCATAAAACTGTGTAAGGGTGTTTAAGATAATTCTTACCCTTTGCCATAATACTTAGATGGTGAGCATTTGGGACGACATTCATTAAAAAGCTCCACATATAGTAGCCGTCTCTTCTTTTATTATTGTAAAGGTTTCCCATTGCTATCTACTCTCCTTACATATTTCTGTTCCACTCGTTTTACTTTCCCCTGTGTCTTTTTGTAGCCTTGGTAATTTCTCCAAGTTGGCTGGAGAAACTAAACATGACATGTTAAAAAACTAAAGCTAGCAACCTGGTCTAAATAACATCAATAAGACATTGTCATATTTATTTATTTTTTTATGGTCTTTGCTGTGCTGCTTTTATTCAAGGTTACTTGAGTAACAGTTGGAGCTGTTTAGATGTATGTATATATGTATATCTACATGCTATCATTTGACATTCACATTATTGACATTTACTCTGAATATTCCCACTTTTGAACAATGAAAGATTTCCCTAATATGGTTTATCATATGCAAGTAACACTTATTCATCCTGACTCCAGCAACTTAATAATCCAAAGGCCAGAATGAACTTTCTTACCTATCAGAAACAATAATTATTTCTTTTAAGAAATGAGGGGAAAAGCAGTCAGTGTCCGTAGAAAGATTTAAACATATCTAAAGTCCTGTGGATGGATTAGTTAGCTCCAGCAGGAATACTAATCTGTACTGCTCTAAACGTAACAATGCCTTCCCCTCACCTTTGGAGATCCAGCCCATGTCTTGCAACACCTCTGTCCTCATTTTTCTTTTCCTTTTTTTGACAAACTTTCCCACCATGTGATAACGCCTGGAGCAAGAGACGGTGCTGTGTTTCACAGCATGAAGAACAGATGGCGAGGCCAAGGAGACACGGATTTTCTGAAAGAAAAAATGACTTGCAAGCCGAGACACACTTGCACACAGCCATAGAGGTAGCTGTGGGTCTCTACACTTGTACACTGAATTGCATCTCTGCATGTACGTGTCAAAGCTGTTGGCACAGTCTGTTTTTGTGCTGAGACAATATCAGCTCTCCTAGACACTAAACAAATACACATACTTATATCTTAGACTGTATTTTTGACAAACTTGCAAAATGTATAATAAACAACAAACCTCGGTAGTTCCTCATCTCGCAAATCAAACCTGAGAAAGGAGTCATTTTTCCTCTCTTGTACAAGCTGCTGCTGCACAGGACACTTTTCAGAACTACCACATGTTGAAGATTTTGCTGTTATTAAGCCAAGCTAGAACCTAAGCTGAAAAACACGAATAATATCTATGGCAACATGAGAAAAAGTTATCCACTTTGATGTTGCTGTTCATACCAGAAAATGGGAGCCAAATCCGTAAAGCCGGGTGACAGAAATAGCTTGCAGGTCGTCTGAGGTCTGTGATGCATCTCTCTGAGGAACAGTTGGTTAGAATCTGAATATTCCTCTGAAACTCATTGCTTTTCAGAGAAAAAAAAAAAAAATTCCACAAATCATAATTTCCTCTGACTTAATTCTGCAGTCATGCTATTCGAAAGCATAGTTGGCAGGTGAACAGCAAGTTTTGGGTTTTTACATCTACTGTGCCCTTAACATATGAGCTAAGATTTCATATAAATGAACTCATCCAAGGCAACAAAAAAGTAACCAGTCTAACTAGTTGGACGAAGTTGAACCGCTTTTCCTTATAGAACAGCCTTAAATCTTAGATGTCCGATTTGTGAAAAGTTCCTCAGAGATTTTGGTTCCTATTAATATGCAGCAGTGGTGTATGCATGAATCATACCCTGGACAAGACCCTCTTTCTACTGCCCCAAAACAAGTTATAATGTCAATAAAAAATAAGAATAAAAAAAAATTCAGTTTCACTGAAACGAGCATCACAGTCCTGCAGAAAATACATATAGTCTCCCTATTGTTCTACCTAGCAATGTGCCTAATAAACATATAAATAGAAAATTTGTTCAAGGCACTATACAGAAGTTATATTTCATTATCTGGGACTTTTTCCCTTACAAAGGGACAAATACTGCGGATTAGGGATTGATTGATTGAAGAATGTGCCAAAGGAAGAAAAGGTGCATGGGATATATACAGTATATACAGTGAGTCCACATATGGCAGTCATAAGGTTAGAAAAACCACTAGTTTATCATGCAGTTGCTGTGGCTTATTTAACTGCATATCTATGACCCTTCTGTACCATTATTTTCCAGAGGTTATCTACAGTAATATCCAGATCGATGAATAGATGCAAATCCATAATATCTGGACGTTGCTGATTAGATTGACTTGTGGGAGCAGGCTGTATTTACCTGATTTATGGTCTATTTTGTTAAACCTTTATGTGCTTTAGCCTCAGCTTCCTGTTCTCAGATGACAGGCGTGGTACTGTTGCTTTTCTCTAACTAGCCTGCTTGTTCTTCTCTGACCTCTGACAGCAACAAGGCATCCACACAGCTGTCCTCACTGGATATATCAGCTTTAATGTGTTCCTATTTTTTTTTTTCTCTCCTTGGAATTTGGCTGTTTTTGCAACAATACGCAATCTATGGGCTATTAACGTTTTTCTTTACATCACTGATGAATGTGTTTGACAGTACAGAACAAATCCCTGCTAAAAATGATACGACACACATGACCAAAACAGTCATTTATTTTGGAATCCATTGTCTCCATGAGTTTAGGGAAACATCTGGCTGCCTGTGAGGTTTTTACCCTAATAAATAGCAGCAGCTTCACTGTTTACAGGTAAAGAGTCCTGCTGGTGTTCTACCACCTGCTAATTCACGATGTAAGGCTAAATATTGTACCCTCCTGCTTCTTTCTCTGTTCCTCCTAAGGGGTTGGTGCCGAAACAACCTCCTGATTGGTTCATGACTAAACTGTTTCATTTTGCTAATGCAGAGGATGAATGGAAGTTGGGTGAAGACCACTGTCTGCCTTCTAACAGACTGAAGATTAGGTGAGGTGGGAGTGGAAACAAATGCACCTAGTACTCTCATGACAGCTGCTCTCGCTGGCCCCACATAGAATGCTGCATTTGGGTTTTAGTTTTGACATGACTTAGCTTGCTTTATCTTTTTCAAAACCTTGTTTAAAAATCCTAAATAGCTCCTATAAGGCCTGATAAACCTTGAATCCCCAGGATGCTACTTAATTTGATCTAAATAATCCTAGGTTAGTTTAGAAGAAAAAGGCATTTCAGAAGCGTGACATCATGACGATTCTACCTAACGGCTGCCAAATTGAGTACCAAACATCTGGAATGCAATTATGGACTCTTGTTTTCACCAGTTATGTTCTTTGCAAGAACACAGGAAAGTATGGACTCAGGGAAAATGGGAGCATGCAGCATAAATATGGGTCAACTGGTACAGATGTGTAATCATGACATAAACACACGCTCAGCTTTGCAAAACTCCACCAAACATATCTAACAAATGAATTTCTGCTTTTTCTCAGATTAAAACTATGAGGCAAAGAACATATATCTACAGAAAATCATTTAGTGCAAAGAACAGCCTCGTTCAGAAGACCAGATAGAATTGTGACATAAGTCCCATATATAGGCACACATGAATCAAACTGCTGTCGTACATCTATAGCAGTAATGTTAGCTGAAATAGGACATTCTCTTCATTTAGTGACAAGTGTACAGAAAATAAAAAATATAAACAAAAATTGGTCCCGCAATGGAGTGTCATTTCTCCTGCTTACCAGATGCTATAAATCAAAACCTACAGCTTTGAGGAGCAAGTCCTCCCACTATGTAAATTCCTGCATGTAAATATAAATCCATGTAGGCCTATTATTCAAAAAGTAACGCATGTGTAAGCACCATTTCAAAAAAAGACTGCAGATCACTGAGTGCATTGAGTTCATGGTGTCAAATCGTGTGACATGACACAATACCTGTATGTTTCTGCGATATTTCCCTGTTATTCTCCCGTTGACACCGTCTTGACATAATTTTGTTATGTCATGTTCTGAGTATTGGACTAATATATTGATTCAATAAAGATATCAAAAAATGTGTTTCACGCTCCTTTACTATACTCAAAATATATGTGTATTCTGTTTAATGAAGCTGCAAGACTTGAATATAATATTTAAATAATCAATCTGATGAGAAACATAGTGTACTAGTATGTCATTAAAGCAGAGGGTCAGTAAATGAAAAGGAGATATAAAAATGATTGAGCACATACTATTTACAATGCTTGTATCAGATTAGGAATAAACACAGTTGTAACATCTAAATGGACTGGGCTAAGTAAATCAAAGTACATGACATTACTTTGGATATTTCATTAGATAATTTAAAGGAAAAGAGCCATGCCAATAGACCTTTTTCACTAAACCCGGAAATAGTCAGCTGTTGACAACAGTCACTTCCTGTGTGTAATTTCAAAAATGAAACTTATTTTTTCTACTGGTTTGATTCACTTGCCAACGGTTCAGCAAATGACACTGAACATGCTTTACTTCAACACCTAAGTATGTGCTTGCCATACCACCCACAAAACAATGGTCTGGTGTATAACTTGACTGGGCAATTCAAAGGTTGTTTTTCAAACCTATCAACAAACATCTCGGAATGGTACTGTGTTTGTGGTTCCAAATGTCTGACTAATCAAATTGTAATCTTAAGGTCACTAAACAAGTTGTTTGCAGACTATCCCCATAGATGAGAGGAGGGTCTACAACTCACAATGTTCGACCAGCGGACCCAACGTCATATAACGACTAAATACACGCCGTATTATCGGACGTTTGGCAGGGAGGCCAGGTATCCATCAAAATACCAACGGAGTATTAGGTAAGGTGTGTATGCTTCCTCCATTTGGGCAATTCGTGTGTCGTGACCTACTAATGGCCCAAATATTTCATATAATTCCTTACAGATCACGGAACAGAAAATTGAGAGGCTCATTTCCCGGCTCCGGATAAAGCGGAAGAAAATAGATATAGGATAAGAGTGGAGATCTCATGTCTGAAAAAGGGGGGGAAAAAAAGATAAAAATAACAATCTAAAACGCTATATCCTGCCCCAGCAAAGGATTCCCTCCAAGCTAAATGCGCATCAGCCTCCCGCCCTGGCCTCGTCGTCCCCCTCTGCGCATCAGCCTCTCGCCCTGGCCTCGTCGTCCCCCTCTGCGCATCAGCCTCCCGCCCTGGCCTCGTCGTCCCCCTCTGCGCATCAGCCTCCCGCCCTGGCCTCCTCCCTGTAAGATGAGTATTCTACTTCATTCCAAGTTGATCATGGTTTTACACACTCAGATTGGGCCCTATAAACTTTCTTCTGAGAACATCATGGACCTGGCCCCTGGCAGAGAGTTTCAGAGTGAGGCACTTGTTACATGGTTGGAAAATACTTGTATCTTTGCAGGTGATCAACACCTACCTTTTATCACTGGGCAGGGAGACGGGGTCATTAATCCTTGACTCCTACCTTATGTCCTCAGTATGGCGGGGGACATTGAACATTGAAAGGTTGGGGGGGGAGGCAAGTATCAGTGCATAGACCAAACAAGCTGGATACAAAGTTTGTTAAAGTCTGTCTTTCACAGGTGCCTTTGATGACCCACAATGTGTTGGCTGAGGCTGTTTGTGATGAGCACCACTGGACACTTGTAGTGAGTACCAGACTGATGCACAGATAAAAAGGTGCCAGGAGATGACCAGATGGGTAATTCAGAGGCATGACAAATTTAGTACAATCACAATACAAGCTTCTCTGACTGTTTGAATTTCATACTGAAGAGCATTTGTACACAAACAATGCCTGGCCATTGGGAAGTGGGGATCCTTCATGGTTCCTCAACCACGGCAGCAGGAGTTCTAATGTGAACGGTAAGTACAGACATTGTACAATGTGTCCCAGGAAGGCCACAAACTAATGGCTACAAATCCTCAGATGGCAGAGTGTATATTGAGGTGTCAAGAACCAGCATGCCATGCTAAGGATATGGCAGAATTGATACTGGACATGGCATACTGTAGACTCTGCTGAAAAACACAGGTGACCTACTGCAGCCACAGTGCACTTCTAATGTATAGACGGATATGTATATCCTTGCCCTAATGCTTTTCCGTGCAGATGACTATTTGGAATTGTGTCATATGGGAAGTTTAGCTCTGCAGTTGCCACAGAAGACTGGGTAAGGTGTACTGTGTTAAACATGACTAAATTTGGAAGCCTCAAGAATACCTTTGAGTTTAGTTTTGTTCTCCCTTCCCTTTCCTGCAATAACGCTTTATCTAAACTTATAACTTGCTACACAGCTACAGTCTAATTGCCTGTATTGTCTCTTCAGATTGAATCCAGTTGCTGCTCTGTGTGGAATCGCTGCGCCCCTGTGGCATACCCATCCACAGCGGGAGACTACCACTGCTAGGCCTGTTAACACTACTACATCAGCAAATCTGTAAAGTGTTAGGGTTGGGTTTTTTTTTTGTTGCATGACGATGTCTGTATGCAATGTGTCAATTTGTACAATATTAAACTGAGTAAACTTGACTTGTCTAAACAACTTTGTTCTTTGTGAGGGAACAACAAAATATCCATGGGCAAGGTAGAAACTTGACGAGTTTGGGGACATTCTGTGGAAATGTGTTTGGTCAGCAAAGAAGCTATCCCTACATACAGTATCAGTGACTGCAAGCAGCAATTGGGCTTATCCTTCCAACTATTCCCACTTTATTTTTCAAATTCTGACAATTTGGAGTACACATTCTTTTCTTACTGGATTCAAATCTGGTTGGTTTGTATGCAATTTCAAGTTATGAGACCATAATTGGCCATTTCTGGACTGGTTTTACCATACGATTTCCAAAAAAAGGGTGAAAATGTATTTGTGCTTCTCAGCTAATACAATCTGAATTATGTAGCCTACCTGCTGAAGAAGAAATGTTACCTTTATGTATTCACAGTATTTGAATACCAGAGTTGGTAGCTACCATGAATCGGAATGCTGCAAAACTAAAACTGGTCAGAATAAATGTTCTCATTTCTGGCCTAAGATCTATAAATGTGTCTGTGGAATGAAATATGAGAAAGTTGCTGCATAATGAGTCTGCAGTGTCCTCACAGATTAAAGTGTGATCCACTGGGATCTGGATAAATATGGACTGTAAAACACTCTCCCACCTTGGATGTTGTGATGCTAATTCTCAAATTAGGATTATAGTACTTAAATTCTGATTTTATTTGTAGGTGTCCTTTCATGTTGCAATCATGACCCTGCCATGATCTAATGTTCATGAAGCCAGCTGCCATATCATATTCCTTTTTTTTTTTTTTTTTTAATGGAGGCCAAATTTTTGTTTGCATCCCAGGCAACTTTAAGTCCTTCACATTTTTAAAGTCACTGGCATTTGAATAGTATTTGACCTACTTTTTGCTGTGACTTTACTGTATGGCTTGCTGACACAAGAAGAATAAGTGAACTTGTCACAAAATGCTAATGGTGTGGAAATGTGTGGTGCCCCCCCCCCCAACAAAAAGTTTTTTCAGACTTGGGGCATAACATCTTTCCCGACTGAAAAAGAGGGAAAGGACACCACTTTGGTTGTGAACCCATGAAATTCATTATACTTTTTTTCTGCTGAGCAAACATTCTTCTCTTTTTACTCAGGATCACTTGCAGGATTTAAAATTCTATTTCTGTGTTTTGGACATCAGACTAGGATCAACTGGTGACAAAGTTAACTGGTGACAGTTAACTTTGCATATTCCAATGACCGTCATCTTTTACGTTCCAGAATTAGATTTTTTTCCTTTCTTTACTCTTACGAGAGCGTTGCCTAGAAAGTAGGTTCTGCAGCGTAACAGAGTGAAAACAATAACCACTTTTTTTTCCTTCCCCATCAGTTATCTACTGTAAAATCTCCCAATTTTACAGTCTACGCAGTTTATTCCCTGTTTGAGAGGGGTCCAGAAGAGCTACACCTACAGCGACCTCTGCAAAAATCAGCTGTTTTCCAGCTGCTGCAAGTTGATCCCCTCACCCATTAATCTATCACAATGGCATCTTTGACGCGCAGGAGACCAGAGCAGGTACTCGATATGGCTGGGGATAGATTTGAACGTCTGTGACATCAGCTGCATCTATAGACATGTCCTTTTTTTTTTTTTTTCTTTCCAGATGAGGCAGGTTCTGGCAATTTGTAGTTGTTAGAATTAAGCCACACTTTCAAACACTGCTGTCCAGATTGTTGCGCACACACTTGTCTCAATTCAGAAGCTTCTCTCTGGTCAGTGAAATGTGAATTAAAAATAGGAATGGAGAAATTTAATTTGAGAGAAATGTAAGGTTACAACTAGTTTCAATCAATTTCAACTGTCAGGGATATAAAAAATGGAAGCGTATGAGAACAGCAGCTCAGCCACAAATTGGTAATCTACATAAACTGATGCATTTGGGTCAGTGCATGCTGAAGCACATGGTGCAAAGAGATTACCAACTTTCTGCTGAGTCAATCACTGCACACCTCCAAACTTTTTGTGGCCTACAGATTAGCTCAGGAAAAGAGAGAGCTTCATGGAATGGATGTCCATGGCTGAGCAGCTGCCTCCAAGCCATACATCACGAAGTGCAATGCTCTGTTTGCAAAGCACACTGCCACTAGACCTCAGAGCAGTGGAGACACGTTCTATACAAATCAGTTGAATTGGGGTTATATCTTGTACTGTTTAAATCCAGGACATTAATATGCCTTTAAGACATTCAAAAGTAAGCCTTGGGTGATATCGTGTATTGCCTCTTTACCTCACACAATATCTTTAGTATCTTGACTGAAAACATTGGAACTCATTGGAACACCATGTTTCACAGGTGGATTTTATTTGATCATTTCAATAACTTAATGCAACAGATTGTACACACAGACTGCCTGGCTGAGTATTTTCTTGACGGGGCCGCCTGTAGAGTTGGTTGACAGTTCCCTTTTGTATCTCTGCTTCTTTCTGTACATCTGCTTCTGTCCCCTTGAACCCCAGTCGCTCACACTGAGTCTGAAATTTGCTGGAGTTTTCTTCCTGTTAAGAGGGAGTTTTCCTCTCCACTGTTGCTACAAGCATGCCTAGTGTGAAGGATTGCCTTTGAGTCGATAAAATCAACTGGTTTTTCTTAGAAAACTTTGAATTACTTTGACTGTGATCTGGTGAATTGTAAAGTGCCTTGAGATGACATGTTGTGAATTGGCGCTATATAAATAAACTTAATTGTATTTATTGGTATCAGAGTAAAGGAGTTGAATAAAAAAGTGGGTTACATTTTTACATATTATTTACTTCCTCTGTTCCTTACATCAAACCTTTTTTTTTTCCTCCTGTGGCTTTTCCAATGGATACTACATCCATCTGGATACTTTGCTGCTGATGTGCTCTTAATTAATCTTCCAAATTTGTCTTCTCTTTTTTTGTCAAGGCAAGACTAAACAAGCACACAAGTTATTTTCTCGTGCAAAAACCTCCTGAGTTATGTTTCAAGCTGGCATTTATTTCTTCAGGCGTGTGAAGGTGAAGAAAACATGTAATACTTTAATGAGCTGACAACTACAAAACAACCCCTCCTGAGGCCATTATGGATTAGAAATATTTTCACACTGTTCACCGATAAGCAACTTCACCAGCAAATGAAGAGTGGCAGCAGTTTCTTCTGATTCAGTGCGAGTCTGCTGTGCATACAAATGTTCCAATCATTTATTTTTCTAACCTTTGAGAAAATTTCCAATAGCCTGTTTTTTTCTTACTTACCAGCAGCAACTCCAAATACCACAAAATACTTTGATTCTCCTCTTTTATTTCAAAATAAAAAGCATAGATTTTGTTTCTGCCATCTGATGGACATAAAAAGGCTCAAGGCCTCATTAACAAAACCATTCTAATCTTCCACTTTGTTTTTGATCAAAAAGTCATTAGCAAGTGAATGCTCCTCAAGAGTGATCTAATCGTAGTGTTAATGAGGTGAGTCCTCAGTGCCTCATTTCCACCACATGGTTGAACTTGTGGACATATATTTTAACTTTACTGGTTCAGGTCTAGGTTTTAGTAAAATGTGTCTTAAGGTGAGGAAAAATAAATGTTTGGCCACCAGAAAGACCCGTGTGTATTAATAGGTTATTCTTGGTGTGCAGCATGATGCTGGTTGTAGAAATGAGCCTGTGGATGTCCACTGTCTCCCTGAGCTCTTCTAAACCCATTAGTTCCTTCTAAACCAGAGAGAACCAAGACAACAAGGATACTAATGTGGGAACAAGACTGAACAGTATAGAGATGCACAAATCAGGAGTTTAAACCTGCCCCTCCAATACCATTTTATGCTGATATCAAGCAGTAACTAAACTAATTTTGTCTTAGAAAAACTGAAACTGTTGAATTGTTTAAACAGAATACAGTAACAGAGGTAGGTATTGATAAATAATAGAGGTACACAGAGGTGTCTATTGATGGAGAACATTAGCTATTGGTGTTGGCAAATCTTGTTTCAAGAAAATGACAACCCTTTTTCAGTGTATTAATTGCCTCAGTTTATAATAATCCCCTAAAAGACAACTTTATATTAGACACAATTTTGTAGCTAAAAGGATAAGAAAGGATAAGTTATTGCCCTTGTCATTATTACATGTGTCAGACTACAGTAGTTTTCAATCACAAAAACACCAACCATCCACAAAGGTTTGTGGGTAGTGCTGTTACTTTTCTGCACGCAGGTCGTCATTGGAATCCCTTTATCCATGGAGTTTGCACATTCTCCCTGTGCATGTGGGCTGTTCATCCAGGTATTCTGCTTTGGCTTCCTTCTGCAGTCCTAAAAACAAGACTGAAGTGGTTACCCTAAAATGCCCTAAGATAGGCATGCATGTCTTGTAGTTCCCTGATAGCTTGTCCAGTGTGTACCCGCCTCTCACCAAATAGCCACTGCACAGTGATACCCAGACCCTCTGCGACTTTGAAAGGAAAGATATTAGCAGTGCTGTAGAGAAGCCTACTTTTGTATGTTGTGTAAGTCAATAATCATCATCCCCAATCCCTCAAACAAAGAGCTGCTTAAAACAAAATGTTGCAGCAAGTGTGTGGAAAAGATTTGCTTCATATCAACATATCCAACATTGGTTTTCTATGAAACTTTGTTGAGGAATCACATTCATATTAACAAGTTTTACAGCCCAAGAGGATGAAGATAAAACAACTCAACATGTTCAACATTAACATGTTCAACATTATTGCAAATAAATTAAATGTTGACCTAATCTTATATAGCCATTTACAGCATCTATCAAACTTTACATCTGCTGTGTGTTACTTTTAAAGCTGATGAGAATGTCTTTAATAGTTAAATTAGAAATTGTCCATTTATTTTAAAGTGCCCCAAAACGTAGAAAGGCAAGAAAAATGTGATTATAAGGGCAATTTTTGATATTTTTGAATAGGGGAATAGTTT